TCCTGGTTGTCACTGATGCTTTTGTGGCTAAAAGGGAGCAGATCTTTTTGTTTTATTTGACCTTTGTTTTTTTACCAGTTCTCATTCTCTCACATCTCTGCAGCCAGGTTCAGGTGGGAATCTGGAAAGCAGAGGAGGGGAGGCAGTGGCAGCAGCAGCAGGTGAGTGCACATGGATCTGGACTGAGACGCTCAACAAAAACATGTGAGTGAGAAACATGTGAGAAGCGTGCGATATTATCACTTAAAATACAGTACGAGCCGTGATATTAACACCATTCAGTCTCAGGGTGAAGGTAAAGGTATGTATTGTGTGAGAGGGAATGAAAAACATCTCCAGTGTTTCTCTCAGTTTCCCGACTCCGAAGGTCAGACTCTGTGTGTTCAGCTAATGCCCTCTCCATCTTGTGTGCACACAATACCATCAGGACGAGACTCGCTGGATGTCATCAGACCGAAGGACTCAGCCACAATAACACATAAACCCCGAGAGAGACTGATGCTGTAATTCAATAAACAGCTTTCCAGCAACACTGAGGGTTTTAGAATCACATGTTTCATCTCAACAGACTCAAGAAACTAAAATACCACCACAATTATGTGTCAGAGGAACCACACAGTCCAAATGTCTTGTGTTTGTACATCACAGAATTATAGAGTGACTTAAACAGCAGCTGATGGATTCTGGTCACCGCTGTATAAATCTGCTAAACCACATTGCTGCTCTTCCATCAGATGCTGAAACATCAGGCCTCAGGTTTGCAGTGAGGAACGTTAATCTGGGAAAATGTGCAACGTCTAATCAAACTGAAAAGGTTTTGCCACCACATTCACACATGTGATCAGATTGTAAAACCCAACTGGAGACCCTCAGATGCAGCTGACAGGAGCCCTGCACACAAATCCTCAGTCACCGTCAGCACAAACCAGCTCAGACAAAGAAGTGTCCCTGTTTCAATCTAAAACGTCTAGCTCCTTTAATGCTTAGTGCTGCTGGTGTGTTTTGCATCAAGGCTGCACTGAAATCAATAATAAAGGATTTTTAAAAAATAACAATCCATCAAGCCAGAAGCTGTAAACGACACTTCTATCTATACTTACATTACATACAGCACGTTGTCAGGGTCAGACGGTCCATGCAACTGGAGGGATGTTAGTTCTTAATTAAAAAGCTAACTAAGAAAATAAGAGCATGCTGGAGGAGGATGCACATCAGCTAAAACCATTTATGGCAACCTAAGAGTTAATTCACCAGAAATGATAAAACTAGAAATTACAACTGATTAACCTGCACGATTAATAACAGTTAATTATTAATGACAGTTTAAGACTATAACAGAGATGGCAAACTACCAGAAAGGCACATTTTTTGGGAAATTTGGGGTGTTACTGCACCATAAAGTCACTCTTTAACAGCCTGGTGTAGGATCATCTATGTACAGTTGTCCTCAAACGTATTCGTCTCCTTCCATTAAAGAAAAGGCAAAATTCACTCTCAAATAAGTAGAAACTGAAAAAAGTCATAATAAATAAAAATTTGTTCAATTATAATTTAGTGAAATAAGATGTTGCTTTTGAATTGTGGTGAAAAGAATAATTTAAAAAAATAAAAGTCTCCCAGACAAATGAGAGCACTTTGCTGATGAGCAGGTGAGCAGTGGTCCAGAATACCTGTCAACAGGTGCAGAAGTCTGACTGAGAGTTACAGAAACACCTGATGGCAGTGATTGGCTCAGAGGGTTGTTCAGCTAGATATTAGTTCACGGCTCCCATCAGGCTGGTTTGCTTGTGTGTGTTTTTAATATTTCTGTTGAACCACAATTCAAAAGCAACGTCATGATGTTCATTCATTTTTATTTATTATTACTTTTGTCCATTTCAGCTTATTTCTCTGTTTTTCCTTCTCTAATGGAAGGCTGTGAACACATCTGACTGAACGTGATGAAACCGTTTATTGCCACAGAAGCACCGGGGATCGTTAAAGCTGTACAGACCGCGATCAGACAACACAAATATTAAATATTAAAAATAAATGCAGTCTGATTGCGGTAATCACAACAAACCAACAGTGTGACGGTGATGATCACACAGCTCGAGGCTATTATTAGAAAGTTACGTCACGGCGTGTTGGAGGCGCGTCTCTGTGCCGGTTCAGCAGAACCTCCTCATCAGCGCCGTGAACGGGTCCTCACGGTCCCTCCTTCCCCACATGGAGCGGAACCACGCAGCACCACGTGACCCGGGGTCCCTGGACTGAGCCTCTCACACCGCATCATGGCTGCGGAGGATGCGGCCGCGCGGTACCGGAGCGGAGCCCCGCTCTCCCAGCGGGCTGCGCTCTCGCCGCTCCGCCTGCTGCTCTTCTCCCTGTGCGCCTGCTCGCTGCTTCCCGCCCCGGCGCTCGGTCTGCTCGGCTTTCGACCGGAGGAGACCGGGGCGGAGCTGTCCGTGGAGGACGGGGTGCTGAAAGCCACCGAGGGAACGCGCTTCATGCTGCGGGTCTACTACTCCACCTCCCCGCAGAGGCTCAACCGCACCGCGGGAAAGCGTGCCAACAATGCCGCGCCCTGGATCGCCTTCATCGAGGAGCCTACTCCCGGCCGAGAGGGACAAGTTCACCCGAAGCGGAATATGTGCATGGACAAGAACGCCCGGACGTCCGACATCGAGGTTTTAGGCTCCTTTAAGTCCGCCTCCAGTCAGAACTCGGTGCTGGTCGAACTGTTGGCCAAAGACCTGCGGAGGGGAGAGAAGACCAAATACTACTCCATGTGCGCCTTCGACGGATCCAAGTGGGAGCACTACCGGACCAGGGACTTCTGGGTGGCCGTGACCGAGCGCTCGGCTGTGCCGGAGCTCTGGCTGCAGGTGCTGGTCTCAGTCCTCCTGCTCGGGCTGTCAGCTCTGTTCAGCGGACTCAACTTGAGCCTGCTGGCGCTGGACCCGGTGGAGCTGCAGGTGCTCCAGAACAGCGGCACCGACACGGAGCAGAACTACGCGCGGAAAATCGAGTCTGTCCGTCGGCATGGAAACTACGTCCTGTGCACTTTACTGCTGGGGAACGCGATCATCAACGCCTCTCTCGCCGTGTGGATGTGTCAGATCCTGGGCATGACCTGGCTCTCTACCGTCATCTGCGCCTTCGGCATCTTCTTCATCGGGGAGATCCTTCCTCACTCAGTGGCGTCCCGCCACGGTCTGGCCATCGCTTCCAAAACCATCTGGGTGACACGGCTGCTGATGGTGCTCTCCTTCCCCATCTCCTACCCCATTAGCAAGCTGCTGGACCTCATCCTCAACCAGGAGATCTCCAACTTCTACACCAGAGAGAAGCTCCTGGAGATGCTGCGTGTCACCGACCCGTACCACGACCTGGTCAAAGAGGAGCTCAACATCATCCAAGGAGCGCTGGAGCTGCGAACCAAAACCGTGGAGGACGTCCTGACGCCGCTCACCGACTGCTTCATGCTGGCCTCGGACGTGGTGCTGGACTTCAACACCATGTCTGAGATCATGCAGAGCGGATACACCAGGATACCGGTGTTTGAGAACGAGAGGTCCAACATCGTGGACATCCTGTTCGTCAAGGACCTGGCCTTCGTGGACCCGGACGACTGCACGCCGCTGAAGACCATCACTCAGTTCTACAAACACCCGCTGCACTGCGTCTTCAACGACACCAAGCTGGACGCCATGCTGGAGGAGTTCAAGAAAGGTGAGGAGGGCGCCTGGGGTGAAGGAGGGTTTGTGGCATTGAGCATCTCAGCAGGAGAGTCAGGATGTTAAAACACAATTCTGTTTCATGTAGGACTTGTTCTTGTTCAACATGTTTTGTGATGAACTTGTTTTATGAATATATTCTAGAGGACCAACTCAAGGTCACTCACACCGATAACGATGTGAGACCCTGTTGATATGATGGTTCTATTATTTGTGCTAATGATGTCTTACAGGAAACCTGTCTCATAATTCATGCTCCTGTTCGGCTGCAGTAAAAAAGTTTTCTTTGCAGTTCATCGCTGTGATACAGTCTTCTGTTTCCTGCTTTTATCCGCTGTGACTGTGAGCAGGCGATTCACTGTTTTTGCTTCGGGGCATTTAGGTAAGACATCTCCTGCTGTAGTGCCGGAGACAGTGGTGGAAACACACCCGTGTGGCTAGTTGCTATGGTAACCTGTCAGTCTCAGGTGTTTAACATGGGCAGGTGAGGATGCTGAGTGGTGAGTTCATTCAGGTAGTCGTGTGCCGTAGAGATTTGGTGGATCTGCCTGTAAAGCTGTGGTGACTTGAAGTCTGTGAGATCCTGTGTGAGGATGCTGACACTGTCTGAGAGGCTCATCAGCCCCGTAGAACCAGGGATGCCTTACATGGCCAGAGAGAAGAAACTGAAAGATATTCTTAGTAAAAATCTGAGGTGAGATGAATCACTTTCTATTTGTTGATGCTTGAATTAGTTTCATAAGATTTGGGAGGATTTGTTCTTTCCATGTTTGCAAATCTGTGAACTGCATCACTTGTTGTCATCCCAGCTCTTGTGTTCCCCAAACAGAAGCCCAGGCATTACCTTCATTTATGAAATCTAGGAGGTTATCAGACTCCTTGAGCTGGTTTAAGTCTCCTGCACTGGCTGAACAGCTGATGTCTAAACAGTACTTAAACCTCGTGCTGCTCCAGTGGGGCTCCTCTGTATTTAATATGAAAGTGATGTAATACTTGAGGGAATGCAAATGTGTATCTGTGCAGCTGGAGAGCAGCTCATGCAGTATGCACAGTGCTGCCCTGCACCACTAACACATCCCTACCCGGTCTGCAGTGCCGCTGCCGCCGCCGCTGCAGCAGCACACCAGCGTGTCCTCCTGCATGCAGTCTGCTGGCATTCCTGCTTTATTGTAAAGTTTTAAAATGGGTGGGGTGTGAGGCGGCCAATCGCAGGCCGTGCTGCTTATGGCTGCCTTCCTACATGCTCAGAGATCCTGCACAGTCAGCGGTTTGTGTTTTTTCTCTGCTGTGTTCGCGGCGAGGACAGGAAGTGAGGGAGGAGGGGGGGCAGAGCGGGACACCTTGACCGAGGCCGCCTCAGTTTACTGGAGACGTCTGACGGCTCATTTATTTAGAGTTTTGCTTGTTTTGTAAATCGACAGGGTGAGAATGTGTGCAGAGCGTTTCCGAGATAAACATTGTTTTTCTAAGTCAGTAAAATGACTTAAAAGTATTTGACTAATCCAAGGATGGAAGGATTTTCTACACCTGTAAAATATACAATTTCGAAAGCGCTGACATTTTACCTTCATCATCCAACATGCAGCCAACCAGACAGATCTTCATCCTTATTGCTGACTTTTAATCGGCTACATACGGTGATGAAGTGGTTTGTGTGAAGCCAGATGCCATCAGAGCCGTGTAGGATGAACACAAGTATGATTCTTGTGTCACATTGCCACAAAGGGATCTAGATGAGATTATCCACACAACCAGAGGATTATAAACAAGGTCTCTCCCTCTGGCTCTGTCTCACTGTGTTGCTCTCTTCCTGCACCCTGCTTCTTCTTTTCTCTCTCTCTCTCTCTCTGTAGCAACACTTTCAGGCACTGCGGCAGAAAAATGCAGCCCTTCACATTCAGTTCAGTGAGACTCCTGCAGCATCTGATGCTGACACAGAAGCTCCAGGGGAAAAACCCAGCTGTGTTGATATTACAAATGTCAAACTGTATTTTATCTTCCACCTGGACCCTGTAGAACCACTACTAGTTGAAATCAGTTTGCTTCTGACCAACAGCAGCGTAAAACTCTTGTTGGTGTTTTTCTGAAATGTCGTCTGTGCAAATGCATCGGAATCAGATTTGGATGAAAAATGATTTGTTGTGTATTTGAGCTGATAAGCAAACCGTCTCAGCAGCTGATTATCTCTGAATATTAGTCAACTCTTTCTCTTATTTTAAGTAAACTGAAGTTAGTGTGGGCTGCAAGGTGGCTCAGTGGTTAGCATCGTTGCCTCGCAGCTAGAAGGTCGCCGGTTCACATCCCAGTGGGGGCATCTTTCTCCATGTTCTCCCCGTGCAGCGTGGGTTCTCTCCGGGTTCTCCGGCTTCCTCCCACAGTCCAGAAACATGCTGAGGTTAATTGGTGATTGTAAATTGTCCGTAGGTGTGAATGTGAGTGTGCTTGGTTGTCTGTCTCTAAGTGTAGCCCTGTGATAGACTGGTTACCTGTCCAGGTGAACCTGCCTTCACCCTGAGTCAGCTGGGATAGACTTCAGCCCCCCATGACCCTGGTGAGGATTAAGATGTAGAGATAATGGATGGATGGACAAAGCAGCATTGTGTACTGTGGGCTGCTTCCTCTTCTCCGTCACTCTCTCTCTTCAACACATACCTGCTCAGGTGGCTGCAGGTTGTACTGTGTCCTGGTTAGGTGTCCTGCAATTAGTGCTGTGTGTCAGTTTTGGGTTGTTGCGTATGTTTTCAGAATGCGTGACTGCGTTGTCTTTACCCACAATGCTCCCAAACGGGGGCAGAGACGGTGTTTTTTTTCGCGAGTCCTAAGATATTGTCCTCGCCATTTGTAGCTGCCGTCTTTCTCAGCTCAGCTGCCTGTTGCACCAGCAGATGGTGACCTCTGTTGACACGTGCTGCGCACTACAATACATCGCTTCAGGGATTCAAAGATTTCAAGGATTCAAGGTCTTTATTTGCTATTTGTGTGCAAACAGACAGTCGAGGCACGTTGGAATTCTTGTGCGTTGCTCTCTTACACTCTACAGGAGTAGTAAAAGATGAAATACCAAAAAAAAAGAAATAAATAAACCTGAATGCTGCAGCTGAGGTATGAAAACTAAACAAGGAGCTGGTGATGTGCTATTGCAGATGTGCAGAAATATGTAGAGGATGTTACACATGCATCATATTGCACGAGAGGTGGAGGAGGCAGTGAGGGGTTATTGCACATACGGTTCACATTTTTACCATCAGTCTCCCGGTTGCAGTGGGAAAAAAATGTAGAACCATGTTTTGCGTGTGAAAAGGACATCTATGGAGGTAGATGGACGAGAGAAGGTGCTGAAAATCCAACCCTAAGGATTTCTAAATACTCTAATGCCTGGATAACACCCAAGCAGCCTTAAATGTAGCTACAGTTAAGTTCATGTTGCACTGGATCTAAATAAAAATGTTTTGCTGTTTAATTAATAAATGCAATTCCCTGTAGTCCTGCAAAATGCACTGATGTGCCTGTAGGCCAGCGCGGTGCTGTAGCGTGGAGCCTGCTGGTCTGGTGAGCCCACAGAGCGATTCTTTGGCCAGAATGCTAAACACTGTGTCTGGCACCAATAAAATCGGCCAAGTAACACCTTCCCCGCTGTGAACAACGGCAGCAGCAGTGTGCTGGTACAGGGAACCTATTCAGTGCCAGGGGTGATGTTGTGTAGCCAGACTGGAAGCTGAACACTGCAACCAGATCCTGGATGAGAGTCTGACTGTATGCGCTCTAACAAGACAAGGAGTTTGTCTTTCACTAAAAAGCAACACCTTAAAAATGAACGTCGTAAATGTCCGTGTGACTTTAATCACTCTGAATATCGGTGAAAAGACATCTGACGTCACCTCAACCACTAACTTAAATCATCTTTTATTGATGGGGAGCTGTTCAAATGAATTTAAACAACTGGCACAAAAGGGTGAATTCTAATATAATTCTGTCTCTTTACATGAACTGAACCGTACGATGCATTGCTGCCGTTCTACTGTTAAATATACAGCCCATAAAGTCTAATTATCTCCCTCTAAATTCTTTCCTTTCTCTTCGTCCTTCCCTCCCAGGAGGCAGAATATAAAATATTCAGTGTGCTACTTTCCACTTTGTCTGCCTGCCATCTGTTCTCTGTGTTTGTGTTGCTTTTTACAGATTTCAGCCCTTATTCAATGTCACTTGGACTGAAACATCCCTCAGAGTATACGTCCCAGTTTAATGCAAAGCGCCGTTGATGAGCATCAGTTTGCAAATGAATGGGTGGCTGCTGGGTTCACACCACTGAGCATGTCAGTGTCAAGCTTTATCCCATGTGTCTCAAAATGTGTGTTTTTTTG